AATGGCCCTAGCCAGTTTGGCTCAGTGGACAGAGCATTGGCCTGCGGACTGAAGCGTCCCAGGTTCGATTCCTGTCAAGGTTGTGAGTTCAATCCCCAATGTGGGATGTGCAGGAGGCAGCTGATCAATGATTCTCTCTCATCATTGGTGTTTCTTTCTCTCCCTCTCCCTTTCTCTCTGAAATCAATAAAAATATATTTAAAAAAAAAGAAAAAAGAAGCAACCAATGAATGCATAAATAAGTGGGACAACAAATCTCTCTCTCAATCAATAAAATAAAAATAAAAAACGGGGGAATTGGGATTAATCGGCACAATTAAAAGATACCAGAGTTACTCAACATGAACTTCAGAAACATGTCCAGCAAAGACACCCATGTGAATAGTGAGCCCATGAAGTGATGCTATTTAGATGAAATACAAAACCACAAGAAACAACTCCATTTGTTGCTTCTGGACATGTGCTTTTGTATGAATAGCAAACACACAAAGCAAAAATGAATCATTGTGCTGCTTGGGCCCCTTCCTTGATGGAGGAGATTCATCAGGGTTCAGAAGGAAGAGAGGGAAACTGCCCTCACACCCACCCAGCTGAGCTCACCTGTCTCCCACTGGCCCTGCTGAGCATCTGAAGAACTGCTTGACTGCCGACGGCGACGGCAGCTGCCCTCTGTCCTCTTTGTAGAAGAGCTAGAGGTGCCATAGCTGTAGCGTTCTGGAGACACTGGGGGAGAGAAAAATGGAAAGAAGTATTCATAGCCTCTGGCCCCTCCTGGCCCAGCCTCCCAATTCCCACCCCCTGAGATGAACACCTGCCCCATAGGGTTCCTGAGTTCCCCAGAGGTCAGAGTCCAGGCACCCATTCCCTCTCCAACACCTCCGCCCACTTGTTGCTGGCTGCCTCCTGACATAGAGGAGGACTCAGCCAGAGTTATTCTGTAAACCGAGTCATTATAAGGATCCCTGCAATGTTGCCCACCATGAACTGCACACGCACACACACCCGCTCTTCCTGCGGCCACATGGAGTAAGCAGGCCTTTTCAGTTTCCCCAAATCTCTTCCAGAGCCTGGCCGTCATCGACATATTTCTCCAAATGTGCTGTCAGTTCTTCCTTAGTGCTGCCCTTCTCCTGGTTATCCAAATCCCTGGGCTTATTCTGGTGAGCGGAGCCTCACAACCCCCCTCCCTAGACTAGCCCCTACACCTCGCCAAGCAATCCTGCCAAGGCCTCAACAGCCTTGGCCTATGCATGCATGGGGCTCTTGTGCCTTACTCCCTCCAGCTTCTGGCCTTCTTAAGACTGCTGTCCTTCACAAGGATTAAGGACATCAACTCTGGGCACAAACCAGCTTAGTGTGAATCCTAGCTCTTGCTTTCTAGCTGTGTTATCTGCAAGGCCCTGCCCTTTCTTTGGTCCCCTCTGCCACACTGGCCTCTGAGGATGCCAAATTCATTCCTGCCTCAGGGCTTCAAAGCTTGCACAGGGCCAGCAGTGCAGCCTCAGTTCAGATGTCACCTTCCCAGAAAGGTCTTGACTGGTTATCCAATCTAAGGGGGCCTCCCTTTACTTGGAAGAACTCCTTACTCTCACTATACCATTACTTTGCTTTAGTCTTTCTATAACCATATATGAAAATAAGTCATTTAGCTGTTTCAGTATCTGATTACCCCCAATAAATGTAAGCCTCATGTAAGTACTTTGTCAGTCCCATCACCTTAAATCTCCTGTGCCCAGCACACAGGATTCAGTTCTTCCATGTGAACAAGCTGCTTAACTTCTCTGAACCTGTTGTTTTCCTGCACTGAGACAATAAGTGCTTCCTCAGTGGACTGCCAGGAGGATATAAAGGCATAGTTCATATGAAGGGCTTACTGTGTCTGGCATGAAACAAGCCTCCATAAAGTGGCCACAAACATCATTATTGACATGGCCAAATTCCACAAGCTCGCCCCTCCCTCTTGTGTTTCCCGGGAAGGAGGGGGAGTGGAACGGGACACAGGCTGTCGGGTATGACCCTGTCCATATCAGGCATCCTGGGGGCCCAGGTGCAGAGCGAGAGCCTCGCCCCATCGGAAGTCTATCACCCTCCCATTCAACCATACCTGGCCGGCGCCGCCTGCGCGCCAGGTGCGGCAGCAAGTCCTGCCGGGCCAGCACTCGGAGGAGTTGCCCCAGGAGCCGCAGGTCGCTCTCGTCGCACTGCCCGCGGCGCTCCAGCTCCAGCAGCAGCTCCAGGCCGCTGCGGGTGTGGGACAGGCCGCCGGCCGCCCCGGGGGCCTCGTCCAGCAGGAAAGCCAGCAGGTCCAGTTCGCACTCGGTCAGCTGCCCGCCCACCACCTCGAACATACGATGAAGCGACAGCATCCCGTAGTAGTCCAGGCACTCGTCCTCCTCCCAGCTCGGGGCAGGGGTCGACCCAGACAGCGCCATACCCGGGGGAGGGGGTCGGAACCAGCTCGAACCAGGGCCTAGAACCCACTCGGCGGGGAGGGGGCAGTGGTCAGCGACGTGGGGCCCAAACGCCACCCCCGCCAGTGCGGCCCCCGGCCCTCGACCCGCGGGGCAGGTCTACCCTCACACCCTAGCCGGCTCGGCCTCCCTCTTCCCCCGGAAGCGAATGGTATCGTCCGAGGTCCCCTAATAAGAGGTCGAAACGAGAGACCTCACTCGACCTCCGACCGGTCAGGCCTGCAGAGCCCGAACGCCCCTCCCGAGGTGGTATGTTCCGAACCAGCCTCCGGAACCGACCAAGTGATTCGGTCCGAACGATCCTGGGGGGCCCACCCCGGGGCACCCTACCGACTGCCCTTTGACCCTGGGTAGTTCTGCCCGGACGTGCCCTGGGCTCCGTCCAGCGGTCCTGTCCGACCAGCCCCACGGCTCCACCCCGGTGGTGCCGTCCGAAAGTGACCCTCTGGCCCCCACAAGCGCGGTTGACCACAGCAGCGCTTCGCCCCACATAGGTGGTGCTGTCCAAACCCGACCCCCTCGCCCTGCTGGGACGGTACCGCGCTCTCCCCAGCACCCAGGTGGTTCCCTCTACCCGCCACCAGTCGCCCTTCGGCCGCCCTGGGTCCTCACCGGAATCTGGCGTCTGCTGACTCCTGGGCGACGGCGGCAGCCACTTGTTTTGGATCTTTCTGGCACCTTCTCTATTATTACGCCTGCGTCACCTCGCCCCTCCTCCTTCCTCCAACTCGCGCAGGTGCGACCGCCACGCCCCTTACGCGCAAGCGCAGAGTGTGGTTCCCAAGCCCCGCCCCCAGGGCCCGCCCCCAGCCGCAGCGGCCGCGCCGGCCAGTCTGCGCCTGCGCTGAGCCCGAGGAGTTCCGCGTTTGGGCTGCACTTGGTACAGGGTTGCTAGGTTGCTTCTGCCAGTCAGTGACTTGAACCGCCGGGCCCTTGTTGCCCCACGCCATTACTCATCTCCTGGACTACAACAGCCCCTCCTAATCACAGTTTAGACACCCACAGTACCACTGCCCATAGCAAAAGACCACAGTCACCGCCGACCTTCCTGTCTGAGTAGTGCCCAAGCCCTTATGATCAAGACTTGGGCTCTATCCAACAGAACCCCAACACCCACCTGTAAGTTCCTTCCCCTGATCAAGACAAGGACTCCTCCATCTCATGGTAGGACCCAATACTTCCTTCCTGATTGCAATAGGCCTCTCCATCCCAGCTGTGCACTTCCTGCCGGCATCCACCACGAACCCCGCTGCCTCTTATAACCCCTTCTAGTATCTACCTGCCCTCCAAGGTCACGGGATCTCCCAATGTCCCCTCTCTAACCTGCACCTATGAGTTTCTCTCTGGGGAGGGCAGGTCCCTTATCACAAGAGTTGGCGTGCAGACTGCTTGCCCCCACCCCGCCCCCACACTTAGGTCACTCGAGATCATGGCCACACCTGCCTTAAGCCCGGTTCCCACCCTATAATTATCTCTCCCCTGGGGAAGCGGGAGACCTAGGTCCTGCCAGGCACTGGCTCGGTCAGCACTGGTTTTGCTTGGGCTGCCGTAGAGACCTCGGAAGAGTCCTTTCCTCTTTCTGATGGCAGTTGTAACCTGTTGAAGCCCGTCCTGGGTCGGACACACATTGGCGCCCAAAAAGTGGATATCATTAAACCAACCGAAGAGTGGGAGGGAAGGGAACGCAAATTGGGAAGGAGTATGTCCATGCTGAATGGGTTATAGTGAGCAGCCACGGTGTATCAGACCCTGTACTGAGCGGGTTTTATTTTTTATTTATTTTTATTTTTTTAAGCTTATAAAATGAAGATTATGCTTTAATCAATCAAAAACATGGAGTCATCTAATCAATCCAGGAAAACAAGGCCATGTCTTAAAAATGTGGAACGCTTCAGGAATTTGCGCGTCATTCTTGTGCAGGCGCCATGCTAATCTTCTCTGTATCATTCCAATTTTAGCATATGTGCTACCAAAATGAGCACTATTTTTTTTTTTTTATGAGAGAGAGAGACCTCGATTTTGTTGTTTCATTGGTTGCTTCTTATTGGGGATCAACCCCTTGGCATATCAGGACGATGCTCTAACCAATTGAATTACCCGGCCAGGGCCAACATATGTTATTTGAGAGAAGAAGGGAGAGGGAGAGGGAGAAAAATGGATGAGAGAGCCTGCAACCCAGGCATGTGCCCTGACCGGGAATCGAACTGTGACCTCTTGGTTCGTAGGTCGAGGCTCGACCATTAAGCCACACCGGCCAGTTTCTGTGTGTGATTTCATCCAGTTCCCTCAGTAACCTTGGCTATAACGCGAGGCCCTTTTACGCGGGAGTAAAAGTGAGGCCCAGAGAGAAGTACTCCAAGCGCGTCCGGCTCCAGTGCTGTGTTCTCAGAGACGCTCAGTCTGTTCAGCTGTGACACCTCCGTCAAGGCCTGAGGCCGCCCAGTCCCCTCCGTGGGCCCTCACTTCAATCGCGCGCACCCGTCTCCACCAGCAGCCTTGGCACCCACGCGGCGGCAGGAGAGAACTGCGCAGGCGCGTCTCCGAGCCCGGAGCCCGGCCCACAAGGCACGGTCGTGTGTGCGTGGAGACACTCGCCGAGCCCCGCCTGAGCTTCAACACGCAGGCTCAAGGGCGCGTGCCCTACGCTGCAGGTTCTGATTGGCCGCCACGGGTAAGGGCGCCGCCCAATGGGAGGTGTGGATGGTGAGGGGTGCCGCACACCGGGAGCCGAGGGTCTGTGTCAAGAGCGGCGGGGGCTGCAGGAGGCGAGAGAGACGGGTGAGGGTCACCGCGCCGCGGGGCGGGCGGGTGAAGAGAGCGCTGGGCCAACGGAGAGGATGGAGGGAGACGAAGGGGACCCCGGAGGTCGAAGAGCTTTGGGGCCTGCGCTGTGGCGGGAGCGGCGCGGAGTGGAAGGACGGCGCTCCTTCCTATGTGCCCGGGAGCATTGATGGAGCGCCGGTGGAGTGCCGGACCCTGCACTGGAGCTCGCCGTTCCCCGACACTTTGCCGGGAGCGCTTAGGTTGCAGAGTTGATACGTCTGGCCAGAGAAGAGGGATGTGTAGCTGTGCAGCGAGAAAGTTGAGCTTCCAGGCCCCTAGTGGGTTCTTTCCTGGAAGGACTTACTGATCTACTCCCCCATTCCTCCCCCCAGTAGTTTACAATCCATGATTGGGAAGGGGGCAATGTAAACGAGGAAAATCCAAATGTTAGGTCTTTCAGGCTACCTTCTAGAAAGACCTTTACTGGGTACTGCTTTGCATAAACTTCACACCAGGCACTGGACCTCCTCCTAAAGGAGTTCTCTGTTTAGAGTAGGACTGTAAAACAAGAAAAAATTAAACTCTCAGGCCCTGGCAACTCAAAAATTAGTGATGGAGTTAAGGACAGTTTAGCTCCTGGGCTTTTGTGAATTATTTACTCAAAGAGCATTTATTGGGCATCAACTGAAGGCAGGGTCCTGTGCTGGGCTGTTTCTGTGGGAGTTCACATCTTAGGAGAGCTGGCCTGGTGGGGAAGTGGAATGTGCACTGGGACAGTTGAATATTCAGGGCCTCACTTCCTGGAAGGATTAGTCATCCACTAAATATCTCCTCAGTGCCTAAGGTGTGCGAAGCATTCTTCCTGGCATTGGAAATATCTCAGTGATGAACAGACTAAAATCCCTGCCCTCTGGGAACTTAATAGGAGTAACGTGTATGTGCCAGGCTGTAAACTGCCCTCTGGCATTAACACATGTGTTGAAGAAGAGATGGAGAAGGTGGAAATTGGATTTGGAAAATTAGCTCTTATACTTGTGGGGGAGGGGGGGTGTCATTTGCTGAAGAGACCCTGGGCCTCTGCTATGTGAAATGACCGATATGAATTGAGCCCACACATTTAGAAGGGGGGATGGGGCACATAGATAAAAGTTTAATAGTTAAAGTCCCGGTCCCTGGTCAGTACTTTAGTTGGTGACAACAGTCCCTATAATGAATCAGAGCTGTCCTGCTGACAAGCTCAGTGAGGAACACAGAGACTTCATCCCAAGTTCATGATAATGGCTATAGTAGAGGTGGCACTGGATACCGTAGGAACTCTGAGGAGGAGGGGAGTGGCCACCAGCCTCAGGCTGTAGACATCAGAAAAAGCTTCACAAAAGAAATGCTGGGGAGGAGTTCGCTAGACTAGAAGAGTAGAGAACTTACTTGGTAGAAGGAATAGCAGCATCAAAGACCTAGGGTCCAAAAACATTTCTGGGTAACTACAAGTGGTCCTGCCTAGCCTTTATCAAGTACCAGGGACTTTGTGGTCAGTACTACTTTTAGCCCCATTTCACAAGTGAGAAAACAGTCTCAGAGAGAGGAAGTGTGTGGTGGAGCTCAGATTCAAGCCAAGAGCAGTGTGGTTCCAGGGCCTGACCTCTTAATCTCTTTGCTGCATCTCTGTGTCTCCATGTAGAAGGAGGAAAGGTGCTGCACAGGCAAAGGCCGAGAGGCCCCAAAAGACATGTGTTCTCAGAAAGGGTGCAACTAGCCCTCTGGGTAAGGAGGGCAGCATCAGAGGCCAGACTGAGGAGGGCTGTCTCTCCTGCAGATGCCTGGCCGCCATGGGACGTGTGTTAGCTTCAGAGTCACAGGCTCATTAAAGACTGAGGCACAAACACTGAATCTAAACTTGGTGACTGACAGAGGCTAATGACTGACAGGATGGACAAAGGAACTCCTAAGACATCCCTCCTCCCCTTGGATTCCTGGTGTCTCACCAGCTCCCTTCTTTTTCCAGGCACTGCTTTCCCCACAATGGCAGAGATGGCTGAGGTGGCTGAGATGCTGACACAGATATCACCAAGGGCAATGGAGATGTCAACAGAGGTGACTGATATGAAACCTGAGGAGGCCCTTGCCTCATCCCTCTTTTTCCAGCACCACCAGTTCATGTGCTCCGAGTGTGGCAGCCTCTACAACACACTGGAGGAAGTCATCTCACACCAGGATCAGCATGTGCCCACTGTCACAGAGGAGGAGGCACTGACCACCCAGGACTCTGGCCTGGAGCCAGAGCTAGTGCCAGGTACTGAGGATGGGCCTTTCCAGTGTGGTGACTGCAGCCAGCTCATTCTCTCCCGTGGTGAGCTCCTGGCCCACCAGGACTCCCACCTGCAGGCGTCTGCAAGCCAGATCCAGTACCAGTGTGGGGACTGCCAGGAGCTGTTCCCCTCGCCTGAGCTGTGGGTGGCTCATCGGAAGGCCCAGCACCTTTCTACTGCAGCAGCCAGGCCACCAGTGCTGCCGCCTCCCCCGCCCCCTCCCTCAGCACCACCACCTCAATCTCCTGCTCCACCTGGAGTCAAGATGGAGCCCTATGAGTGTCCTGAATGCTGTACCCTCTGTGCCACCCCTGAGGAATTCTTGGAGCATCAAGGCACCCACTTTGACTCCCTAGAGAAAGAGGAATGCAATGGGCTAGAGGAAGATGAGGATGAAGAAGATGATGAGACAGAGGAGGAGGAGGAGGCGTTGGCCTCAGAGGTTGGTGACAATGCTATAGAGGGCGACAAGTCCACAGATACCCGGACCCAGAACTGTGGGGATTGTCCCCAACACTGGACCTCAACAGGGGCACGCCGACGACACCGGCGGGCATCCCATGGCCCAGCATCAACAACCCACCCCTTCCGCTGCAGCCAGTGCCAACGCAGCTTCAGCTCAGCAAACCGGCTGCTGGCTCATGGGCGGGCCCATGTTGGTGGCACACACGAGTGTACCACCTGCTTCAAGGTCTTCAAGAAAGCATCCTCATTGGAGCAACACCTGCGACTGCACCGAGGGGAAGCCCGCTACCTCTGCGTGGACTGTGGCCGTGGCTTTAGCACAGAACTCACTTTGGTGGCCCACCGGCGGGCCCATACCTCCAACCCATTGCATCGCTGCCGCTGTGGCAAGACATTCAGCAACATGACCAAGTTTCTCTACCACAGGCGCACCCACGCCGGCAAGAGTGGAGTGCCACCCCTCACAGCAGGAGCCTCCCTGACTCCAGCTGAGCCCATGCCCCCACCACCGCCCCCTACCCCGCCTGCCCAGCTGCCCTGCCCACAGTGCTCGAAGTCCTTCGCCTCAGCCTCCCGCCTCTCTCGGCACCGGCGAACAGTCCATGGGCCCCCTGAGCGACGACACTGCTGCGGGGTTTGTGGCAAGGGCTTTAAGAAGCTGGTCCATGTACACAACCACCTGCGGACACACACGGGCGAGAGGCCCTTCCAGTGCCACTCCTGTGGCAAGACCTTTGCTTCTCTGGCCAATCTCAGCCGCCACCAATTGACCCACACAGGGGTGCGTCCCTACCAATGCCTGGACTGTGGTAAGCGCTTCACACAGAGCTCTAACCTGCAGCAGCATCGGAGGCTGCACCTGCGGCCAGTGGCCTTCGCTCGAGCACCCCGCCTCCCCATCACTGGTCTCTACAACAAGAGCCCCTACTACTGCGGGACATGTGGCCGCTGGTTCCGTGCCATGGCAGGCCTACGCCTGCACCAGCGGGTCCATGCTCGAGCACGGACAATGACACTACAGCCCAGATCACCACCTCCCGCCCCACCCCCACCCACCCAGCCTCAGCAGACTATCATGTGCACTGAGCTCGGAGAGACCATCGCCATCATCGAGACATCCCAGCCGCTGGCACTTGAGGACACACTGCAGCTGTGCCAGGCGGCACTGGGGGCCAGTGAAGCGAGCGGGCTGTTGCAGTTGGACACAGCCTTCGTGTGACACAACTAAGGGCAACAATAAGAGTGGTTGCAACAGCAAGTGTGGGCTCCTCTGGGGAGGAAGGGGACCACACCCTGGCAAGTCCACCCCAGTCGGTTCCAGGATCTACTAGCATCTTACCCACTGGCTCCTCAGAATAGCCCCGCCAGGTTTCTCTTGTCACCTTTCTCTGCCTGAGGGGAAACTGAAGCTCTGAGATGTGATACGATCTGTCCCAGGTCACTCCACATAGCAGGGTTTGCCAAGGTTCTTTGCATCACCCTGCTACCCAGAAACATCAGGTAACCTTTCCTGAGCCCTGGCCGTGTGCTCAGGTATGTGCCCCATACATCTTTAGGTCCTTTGCTGTCCCCCCAGCCCGAGCTTCCCTGGACTTCCAGCACCCAGGACTCAGCCATGCCTGGTGGAGGAAGGTACTGACTTCTCTGGGCTTCCTTAATCTCACTTTTAACAATGGAAGGAAACCTATAGGTGCCCTAGTGCTCAGCTGCAGACAGTGATGATGGAGACCCAGGAATGAGTCAGGCACGGGGCTCGGCCCAGGAGGCCTATAGTGTGTTAGGAACATGCACAAGTACAGATGGCCTTGCTCTCTAAGTGTGTCTCGTTGATTCTTTATCAGCTTGAGTGTCCTAAGTCCTCCTGAGTGCTGGGTGATGCTTGGGGTAAGAGACAAGTCACGCTTCTGCCCTGCCCCTCAGGGGCAGACAGAGCTCAGCCCTAGGTTCCTCAAGGTTGTGATGGGGGTGCACATGGACAGTGGGTCCCAGAGCAGGGAACAAAGCTCGGTGGGAGATCAGTAGAGACCTTCTAAAGGAGGTAGGAATCTGCTAGCATAAGAGGAGAACATTCCAGGCAGACGGCATGGAGGGTGAGTTCTTAGCATACTTGGAGACCGTCCAGTTATTCACAGCCACAGTAACAGCGAACATTGGACTTCTAGCCGTGGCAGGCACTGCAGTAACCACTATACATGTGTTATGATCCCAACAGGCCTGAGGTGATCTCAGAATGATCCCTGTTTTACAGATGAGAAAATGGGCAGAATGCTTACTTCGGCAGTACATATACTAAAATTGGAATGATACAGAGAAGATTAGCATGGCCCTTGCATAAGGATGACATGCAAATTGGTGAAGTGCTACATAGAAAAAAGAAAATGGGCAGAGACTTGCCCAAGGTCTCACAGCTAGGCAAAGGCATTGCTGAGATGTGCACTTAGATGGGCCCTTCAGCCCATGCCCATAACAAGTGCTATTGAGTGATTGCGACCTGAAACCCTTGCAGGAGCTGGGGGCTCAGAGGATTCATTATAACTGGAGGAAAGGTGAGCCCAGTGTCACAGAGTAGTTGGGGTTGGGGGGGGGGAGGCCGGGTCTTTCAAAAGATCAAAGGCCTTGGGAGCAGGAAGGGATCCCCAGCCTTTTCAAAGGTTCCTTGAGGTGACAATTCTTCCCTCTCTAAACAGATGATACATGGCAGGTCAGGAAATGGGGCAGAGTGAAGCAGGGTTGTCTGGGAGGGCTAGACCTGAGAAGGCCTTGAAGCTGGGCTAAATTGGAACACTGCAAGAAGGGGTGGGCCCTAACGGGGGATTAGGTTCCTTGGGGTCAGGGTGGGGCTATGGGGAAGATTAAAGATGGTCCAGGAGGGAGAGAACAGGCCAGAGCTGGGCATAGACCATGGGGATAGGAGGAGGGTGAGGGACGGTGACCTCATGACTGACCAGATGTAAGGGAAGGTGTCCCCAGCAACCCGACCACAGGTCCCCTCACCCAGGCCAGCCCTCCTCTCCTCTGGTCCACATGCTTTATGTATGTATTCATCATACAAAAAAGGTGATGCCCAAATGGTTCTGAGCAGGGAGACTCAGGGTTTTATTGGGCAATATACAGATGCCTCTGGGGCTTTTTAGCAGACACTACAGACGTCCTTGAACTCCCTCTGGAACACCTCTCTTCACCAGTGGAGCACATGTCGGTTGCTCCTCCCGATTCCCTTCTTCCTCTGCAGCCTCTGCCCTCACCTACTGCTGACACCATGTGGAGGAGGTGCCATTTCCCTCTGCCCGTGGTCCTATTGTCTGGCCCCAGCATGTTTTCTAAGTGAGGATAAAGGCCAGGCTCTCTGCCTTAACCTTCCCCAGGGGTGTCACTTCCCAACAGGTATGAGCCCTGTTGAGACCTGGAAATGAAAGCTTGGGGACAGCACCTCTGCCCCCATGCATGCCCACTAAGAGTCTACATCAGGCTCTGGTCTGTGTGGGTCAGTGGTTAGAGCATCAGCCTGTGCACCACAGGTTTGATCCCTAGCCCCAGTTGGGGCATGTTTGGGAGGCAACCAATCAATGTTTCTCTCTCCCCCTCCCTCCCACTCTCTAAAAATAAATGGAAAAATATTCTCAGGTGAAGATTAACAAAAAAAATTTTTTTAAGTTTACATCAGGCTAAGTTTTGTGTCCTCCAGACTCTGAAGCAGCAGGGGCTGAGACAGCTTTGTTAAAGTCTTGACCCTGCCACTTAGTCTGTGGCCATGACCTCTCTGACCAGCTCTCCCTCCCTGGGTGGAAGCAAATGGTTCGACCTGAGACCAGGGGGCAGGCTCCTCCCAGGCCTCTGCAGCATATAAACCAGACCAGTTCATCCTCACACAGGAAGGTTGGGCCCCTCAGCCAGGATCCAGATTCATGCCTCAGATGGCCCAGTTTGGGTTCACCCTACCCTGTCCCCCACCTGAGATACAGCCCACTCCTGTCCCAGGACAGCCCACCAGACACCTCCCTCACCTCTGAAAAAAGACAGCTAGACAGAAGCAGGTTTCATGCCAATAATTTATTGAACGGAGGTCTGTACACAGGCAAACCTTACTGTGGAAACTAAGACATCAGGATCCCCCCACCATCCCTAACCCAGCCCTCCAGGGTGGGGAGAGGAGGGAGGAGACCTTAGGGCAGAGGACAGGAGGGGAACACAGCTGTAGGAGGGGGAGGAGCCAGGTTGGACGGTGCGAATCGACGTTTTCTTTAAGAAAAAAATTATAACAATCTATTTACACCCGGGGGCCAGGAAAGAGGAGAGGAGATGGGCTGGGCTGGTTCTATTTACAAGGGACAGGGGAAGGGAGGGTGGGTTGGAGAAGGGCGGTCTGGGGGGAGGGAAGAGGGCCAAGGGATAGGAGGTCCTCATGCCCCCAACCCCGTCCATCCTTCCTTCTCTTCCCTCCCCACAGCCAGTTGAAATCCTCTTAAAAAGCCCACCATAGGGGTGAGGCTGGTGAGGAAGGAACAGGAAGAGGGAACAGGGACTCATTTACCTCTGCCCTCTAGTCTAGGGGCCCAGCCAGGGCAGGAGCTATGGCCCCCCTTTCCCAGCCCCACCTGGGGCTCCCAGATGGAAGGGTAGTTGGCAGGGCCCTCAGGAGGAGTTAGTGAGGGGAGCTGTGGCTTCGGCTGACTGCCATTCTGAGCCGGTCTGAGTCTCACTTAAACCTGAAGAGGAGAAAGAAGCAGACCAGTTAGCCTTTGCTTTTAAACACCCCTCTCCCTCCCCACCCCCCCACCCCCCAAAAAAAACCTCCACAAGCAGGAAGTCCATGTAAGATGCTGCATTTGAAAGTGAAAGCTGTCACTTTAGATCCATGGTTGCAAACTCAAATGCCAAAGGACCGAGGAAAGGCAGGCCCACTGCCGTCCCGTCTGACTTTCTTCCCCAGGAGAAACAGGAAAACTGGACTTGAACATGAAATGGCCCAAACTTTTTTTAAAATATATTTTATTGATTTTTTTTTTTTTCCAGAGAGGAAGGGAGAGGGATAGAGAGCTAGAAATATCGATGAGAGAGAAGCATCAATCAGCTGCCTCCTGCACACCCCCTACTGGGGATGTGCCCACAACCAAGGTACATGCCCTTGACCGGAATCGAACCTGGGACCCTTCAGTCCACAGGCCGGCGCTCTATCCACTGAGCCAAACCGGTCAGGGCCCCAATTTTTTAATGTGCGCAACAAATTCAACTGTTTGTATAGGCCAAACATATGTCTTTGGTTTTCCAGTTAGCATTTCAACACAAACATAGGCAATAATACCCAACACAAGTGGCCATTCACATGTTGTAAAATATGCTTTCTATACCATCAAGCTGTAATTTTTACAGGAAACTGACAGGCTGTGAAAACAGCCCCTTCCCCCCCAGCTGAAAAATGCTGCTCTACCCTGACTTACCTTGTGAGGGTGGGGTGAGGGTGGCAGTGCCCGCCGGGGACCTCAAGTGAGGAGGGATGAGAATGGCGTTGAGAGATGGTTGGATGGAGAGTTCTAGAGACAGGAATGGACATGCCTGGTCAGAGGGCAGGACATCTGCAGACCCAATTGGAGTTAGAAAAGGGCACTGAATGGGGACCCAGCTCTTGGCAAGGCCAGTGTTTGCAGACACATGTAGCCATCGAGTACTTAATAGGAAAACTGTAAAGAGCCTAGCACAGATCATGGGGCACAGGTGAATCAGGTTTGGGTTTCCTTGAACCATGGGGGCCTCTCCCATGCCCCAGGCCTTCCTTGTCACCCACCCTCAGCTCCCCATTCCTGTCTTCAACACCAAGCTCTTCTCCACAATCACTGGCTGCCTCTCCAGTTCCCCAGACCCCAGGCTGTGCCCTCACCACCAGGACTGAAATTGAAGAGGGGGGGAAGCGAGCGGTTGTTAGGGAGCTGGATTCCGTGACATCGCAGTTCATCAAAGAAGCTGTGGGCACAGGCTTCCAGTGGGGAGAGCCTCGAGGACGGTGTGTACTCCAGCAGGCTAGAGCAGAGCGCTATGGCCTCAGGTGGCGTTCGAGATTTGAACACCTGGAGAGAAGAAGAGAGGCAGAAGTCACAAGGGTGAGGCCCTGGATACTTGCATGCTCCTGCACCTCACCGCCACAATGCCTGCAGCAAATGTGACTGCCCATCTCTCACAAACCTACTTTCCAAATGAAGAAACTGAGACACTGCCACTGAGGGGAGCTCAGTTTGTATCAGGTGAGCAGCCCACCATGACCATGGGCTCTGCTGGAAGTCTGTTTCCCACTAGAAAAGTAGGGCTCTTGAATCTACTGTGGGTCCTCAACTTTCAGATTACTGGAAATTCCATCAACTGAAATCTAATGAAAGTCACTGACCCTCTCCAATGCCATGACTTTGTAGCCAGATCCCCAGACCACTTGGCCTCCTATAGGGACCTCAGCCATGCTATTGGAGCCCCTAACCCTGCCCTACCTTTGTCCAAGGGTGAGCTTTAATCTGGGGGAACTTGAACTCCGTGTAGTTGGGGTTCATCTCTCGGATCTGCTCCCGGGTTGGTGTTCCCAGCACCTGTAGGAAAACGAGGGGTCTGAGCCAAGACCCCTATCACTTAGCCCCACCTCCGCCCACCTGGCTCTGCCCTCACCTTGATGATCTCCACCAGCTGGTCTACCCCACTGTCCCCAGGGAAGATGGGCTGGCCCAGGAGGAGCTCGGCCAGTACGCAGCCAGCTGACCACACATCTGAAGGGGGAATGGGAGAGGGTCAGGGTTACCATGCCCACCCCTCACAAACACTTCCATCCCTTATGATCAGAGAGGAACCACCTTGCTCGAGATCATACAGTTTAGGAACCCTGGAGTCTTGACTTTGAACTCCAGGTCTGCCTGACTGTACAGGTCTGCCTGACTGTACTGTACTCTTCCCCTTCCTGGTCTGTACCTTGAGCCCTATGACAAATTCACACCTAAGGACCAGGGAGTTTCCCCACACCGGCTGATGAATGTTCTCTTCCAAACCCTTCATGCCCTCTCCTCAAGCCTGGAGGGTGGCAATGTCATCCCCACCAATTGGGAGGAATACAGAGGCCTATCAGCAGGTCACACCCTCATGGCCCACCTCAGATTCCCCCAAAGTCACCATCAGCCCCTCCCCCTGGATGAGAAGAGACGGCTAACTAGGAGGTTCCAGTGTCAGTATGGACTCTGGAGTTGGGTCAGCTTTCAAAGCCCAGCCCTGCCCAGTCCTAGCAGTGTGACTGCGGGCAGGTGGCCTCACCGCTCTAAGCCTGAGACTGCTCATCTATAAAGGACCGTAAGACAACATCGCCCTCCTAAATTTGTGAGGACGGCATAAAAGTATAAACATTAAGCTTTTATCGCCAAACCTGGCACACACACACAAAATTCAAAAACTGCCGTGACTGCCATCCCCACCCGCAGCCTCCCATAAGTCTGACCGATGGATGAGGTATAATCAGTGGCTCCAAAGATCAGCTCGGGGGCACGATAGTAGCGAGAACAGATGTAGGAGACATTGGGCTCCCCCCGGACCAGCTGCTTTGCACTGTGGGAAGAGGTGAGCAAGAGTAAACACAGGCGAAGGTTGGGGTCCTTCCTCACCCTTTCAGCCACTCAACACGCCCCAGGTCAGGCCTACCTGCCAAAATCACAGAGCTTGAGGACAGCCGTGTCAGGGTCCACCAGCAGATTCTGGGGTTTGATGTCACGGTGACACACGCCCTGGGAGTGGATGTAGGCCAAGCTCCGGAAGAGCTGGTACATGTATACCTGGGACAGACAGGGAGCAGAATTCCAGCCCGGCTCTCCCCAGAGCATGCCACTGCTCCACCCTCTTGGCCAGAAGAGCCATTCCAGGCCCTGGCTCCAACTTGAAAATCCTTCCGTGGCCCCTTGGTTCTCAAATTTTAGTGTGCACCAGAATCACTTGGAGGCCTTGTTAAAAATAGGGGCTTCTGGGCCCCACTCCCAGAGTTTCAGATTCAGTAAGTTCAGGATGGGGCTTCTGCAGCAGCTCCCAGTGAAGGTTCTGGTCCACACTGAGAACTCGTTTCAATCCCATACCTCAGCAGAAGCCCGATGAATAAGATAGAGACATCAGGAAGACCTTGTTTTAGAGGCTGGGAGCCAGGCACCCAGCTCCTCCAAATCCACTGGCTGGAGGAAGGGCTCAGCTTTTTATCCACCAGGCCAGTGGTCGGCAAACTCATTAGTCAACAGAGCCAAATATCAACAGCACTTCTTCAAAATAGACTCCCCAGGCCGAAAACCGACTTCTGCGCATGGGCCACAAAGTTTCAATCGCACTGTACGCGCGCGCCCGCACGTGGTATTTTGTGGAAGAGCCACGCTCAAGGGGCCAAAGAGCCGCATGTGGTTCGCGAGCCGCCGTTTGCCGACCACGGCACCAGTCAAACCACCCACAAGCAGCCCCTCTCCAGTTGGGTGTTCTTGCTATTCTCCCATTGACTGACTAGCACAGCCGTGGGCAAACTACGGCCCGCAGGCCGGATCCTGCCCGTGTGAAATGAATAAAACTAAAAAAAAAAAAAAAAGACCGTACCCTTTTATGTAATGGTGTTTACTTTGAATTTATATTAGTTGACACAAACACTCCATCCATGCTTTTGTTCCGGCCCTCCTTTGTTCCGGCCCTCCGGTCCAGTTTAAGAACCCATTGTGGCCCTCGAGTCAAAAAGTTTGCCCACCCCTGGACTAGCACCTAAGTGCCAAGAGAGCAGTGATCTTTGTGTTTTCATCACTGCCTCACAGGGCCTGGCAAGTAATAACCGCTTAGGCCTGCTTCCTGGCCTTCTCCTCTGTTCCTGCTGCCCTTTCTCACCCTGCGCCTGGTCTCCTCCCACAAGCCTTCTTTGATCCTTCTCTCGCCCCAAGCAGGCGAGGCTGGGGGCCTTCTGTGTTTCCAGAATTCCCTGTGCTCCTTCTAGGAAGGCAGTTGCTAGTAGTTTTATAGTTCTCATGTGTCTACCCTGCTAAACTGAGAGGCTTCAAAGGCAAGGCCTGGGTCTTAGTCAACTGGGCCTCTGAAATTGCTCACTGCAGGGCCTGACACACAGGCAGCCACAGGACAGTCACCGCACTGGAGAACTCCCTGCCCCGGGAGTGAGGTCCCATAGCACCAACCACTAGCAGAGCCCCTAAGAGCTTGCAAGGGCTCTCCAGGAGCAACTGAGCCCTCGAGCGACCTCAAGTAAACTTGGACCCAGCCACCTCCTCCCAATGCAGCATTGCCCCAGCCTTTGTTCTCCACATCATCACTAGACTCACTCATTCATTCATTCAAACTCCTACTAAGGGATAGGAACACTCAGGACTCAGCACCAGGCACTGGGGAATGAACTAGAGACAATGGATGAAGGTGCCTGCTCTCTTGGCTCTGTGGACACTAACCTCCCTCCAACCCTGCGTCCTTTCCACTCCTCTCCCAGACTTCAGTGCGTCCCCCTCTGTATTTTCTGTCACCATCACCTGATTCTGAGCTACTGCCTCCAATACCACTGTTGTCACTGGGCTCCCAGTATAGACCCAAGCAGATACCTTGCAGCCTCACCAGCCCCAGTCAGCCTACCTCCCTGATTCAGTCAGGCCTCAGGATGGGCTGCCCTGTATTTAGCGAGCTGCATCTCTGCAGGTATGGAAACAAGGGCAGGGAACACGAGACCTCCAAGGATCAACATAAACTTGGAGAACGAGGGAACCCACAGAAGGTAGGAGGATTCGGAGCCACTAGCTTCCTGGGCCTGGGCCCCAGAAGCCTGCCTGCCCACCTTGACATAGATGATAGGGATGGTCAACTTGGCCTTGGTGAAATGACGGGCCACCCGGTACACTGTCTCGGGCACGTACTCCAGCACCAGATTTAGGTAAAGCTCGTCTTTCTGCAGAGAGCAAAGGAGAGATGTGAGGCATTGTGAAGAAAGAGCTTGCAAGGAAGGGGGATGGAAGGTTTAGGGAAAATGGGGAGGGACTAGCAGTCATGAGAAAGGCAGGCAGGAAAATAGGTGGAGTGAAAGTGAAGGACTCCCCCTACCCCTGAGGTCTCACCTTCTCCCCACTGGAGTAGAAAAAGTATCTCAGCCTCACGATATTGCAGTGGTCCAGCTTCCGCATAATCTGCAGCTCTCGGTTCTTAGAGGCAAAGGGAGAGAGCCTCAGAAAACCACCAGCTGTCTTTCCTCCCCTCTGTAGCACCCTTCACCACAGCCCTACTCCCTCATTCCCGCCAACAGAGCTAGGCGGTTACTCCCTATGTCCCAGGTCCCCCTGGGGCCGCCCCTAACTCCTTATCCAACTCCTTATCTGCAATCCATCCCCCTCACACAACAAGCTGGAGGTCTCTGGGCTAAACCCAGATCACAGATGTGCTTTCTTCAGCCCACTTTTTTTAAATGTTCAACTTATTGCTTTTTTAAATGTTTGATTTAAAATCAAAATCCAGTTTTGCAGCTTCTCTGGAAAAATCAGATGATATGGCCACATGAGGTCCACCTCCCTGCATGGCACAAGCAAGAACAGACAAGTAGTGGCCATCCAGTCCACCCTAGTCCCCACTCCTCCCTATTGTTTCCCTGGCTGTGTCTTGGTCCTTGAGCCCTGGCTTGGATCCTGTGTCCCAGACTCCAGGCTCCCAATTCTCATCTTCCCAAAAAGGACCCAGCCTCAGTCTCTTCCCAGAAGGCCTGGTCTCAGCATTCTTCCCTATTCTCTGTTTCCCTCTGGGGCCTCAAAACTCCCCACCCTCAGATCCTTCTCACTTCTGGGAGGCAACACTAATCAAATTCTGACCAATACCCTGGGGCTCCTCCTGCCCGAGACTACTCACTGCTAGGACCCAGGGCCTGACCTGTTTCCCTCCCAGTGTAGGCTATTTCCAGATTAGCCTAGCCTCCAAAATGCCATCCTTCCAAACCAATTATCCCTCAACTTCCACTCCTCCAGCTCCTTCTCATTCCCTGGGTATCCACTAGCTCACAGGGCAGCACTAGATGAACGGACACCCCTTCTTCAGGAAGGCAGAGCCCCACACCAAGGCGTGTGGTTCGGTGAGCACTGGGCAGGCTGAATTCTACCCTGCACTCGCCAAGTACGTAGGGCAGAGTGAGACAAGACGTTTGCTTCCTTTCTGCTCTGAGCAGAAGCTTAACTTAGTGATTAAGTTAAGATGGAGAGCTTGGGAATCAGAATCTAGTCTTGACCTCTGGCAATTCTCTTATCTGTTTCCAGTTTCTGCTTACTTAAAATGGGAATAACAATACTTACACCTCCACACAATCTTTATTAAACAAGAACTTGCCTGCAAAAGCATTTACAAAGAGCAAAATCCCAATAAACTGTCAGCTCTGGGCTTTCCTGGAACCTATATTCCCATCTTCCACACAACTCCCTCCCTGCTCCCCCTTCTCCTCTGGCCCATGCTCACATCCCCTCGGGGACCCAAGGCCAATGCTCTGGCTGGAGCTCTCACCAAGCATGCCCAGTTAAGCCTCCCTGTCCCCATTCCCACCAAGTACCTTGAACCTCTTGTCCTGGAGAACCTTCTTGATGGCTACCAGTTCCCTGGTCTCTGCCAGCCGTGCCTGGTACACAACCCCAAATGAGCCATTGCCAATCACTTTGATGTCTGTGTAAGCCACCTCCTGGGAGCGCTCCGGGCCTTGGCCTAGAGTGGCTACCACTGTGGTCACCTTCCCGCTGTCACCTGGGGAACAAAGGAGACACAATATCCACTGACCCTTCCCCTCTGGCCACCTCCCTGTCCTGGCGCTGTGGAGGGGAGGATAGTCTCCACAGGAAGCTCTCTGGGGCCTCTTTGTCCCTTTTTCCTTGTCCCTCCTCCCATAATGGAAGACACTGACACCTAAAACTCTTGCTAACCCCTAAGTTCCACTTCTAGTTAAGCAGCAAACCATTGGGTCTTCTTGGTCTCAAGAGACACTGACACTTCCAGATACTGACTGCATCCAAGCTCACTGCCTCTGGTCCCTCCCAACTGGGGAAAGCCTGGCCTAAACTCGTCCACTGAAGAGAGAGGTAACCCTGAGGTACTTCTACTTTAGGAAAGCACTAACCTTCCTCGCAGCTCAGGGGAGGGTGACCTCTATGTCCTCCCTGGTGGAGCTGGAAACTTCACCACTGGTTTTTGGTGACGGAAATAAATGACTCCTCCTGGCGTGAGTACTAGTGCCCTGACTCACTTTTGGGGGACAATGTGCCCTTACCCAAATGCTTTGAGGTTAGAGAAGGCACTGACCTGACCTCATCTGTGTGATCCAGAGTCCCAGACCCCTTCCTGTATCTGGGTGGTCCTTAACAGATCAGCACTAAATTGAGACTAGTGAACCTGATCTCTACGATCAGAGGGCTAGCCCAGCCTCAGCACTTCACAGGAAAACGAATTCCCAGTTCCAGTCTCTGAATGGCAGCAAATTGTGATGGCATTCTTTGGGGATAGTGATCCCTTTTTCTTCAGGGAACTGATGAAAGGTTCCCCCAAGAAAAGGGGTCACTGATAAGTCAAATCCATTTTGAGGGACCAGTTGACTCCTTCTTTTGGAAGAGGTGATCCTACATAGATAGCTATTTTTCCAGAGCCGCTAACACACCTCATAACAATAAAAGGGGTATAACCCAAATCCATATCTATGGGAACTATAATCCTCCCTGTCCCCTTCCATTTATGTGAAAGGAGACCCACCAAGCCATGTTTTTTGAAAAAACAGTAACTATGAGTAGGTCTGAAGAGCATGCTGACTCCCAATCTGGCCTTATTTCTAAGAGGTAGCAACTATTAATTTTCACCATTGGGAGTAAAGTTCTACATATTATGGACAGGTTATGATACCACAGGTTATGATACCAGGCCCTGTGCTTTAAAGGGGAAGACGACCTGGGTACCAGGTCTGGAAAGCTGTAGCCCTGTTCTTTGGAAACACAGTTACTTGCTTCTAAGTAATATGCACTCCAAATTCTCATCTTCTAAAGGAAAGCAAATTCAGAGTGCCCCCCCCACCTATTTATTCTCTTTGGGAACAATAACCCTTGAGCCCCATTTGTAAGCGACGATGACCCCTGATCCTGTTCTCTAATGGATGGCAACGTCAGAGCCCTGTTTTTAAGCCTCAAGAACCCAAGACCTCGGTACTGGAAGAACAGGAACCTGTGACCCCAGTTTCTTTGAGGGTTACTCACTCTAAGCCTAAACTCCAAGTGATGGTCACCCCCTCAATCCTTCTCTTGGAGGGGGAGAGCTCAGATCCCAGTTTTAGGTGGCAGTGACCTCGCGCTCTTATCTGGGCAGATGGAAGAACCTGATCGATGACTGAGGGGCTTCAGGGACCCTGATCTCCACCCACCACGGACGCCGCTAGTACTCACGGCCCAGCTTCACTCCGGGCGGCGGGAAGCTGGTGCCCGCACTGGGGACGCCGCTGCCTCCTCCGCCGCTGCTGCTGGGGCCACCCCCGGAACTCGAGGTCCCCACGCCCCCACCCATGGCTCCGACTGACACTTTCCCGCCGGTGCTGCCGACCGGGCCGGAGGCCGAGCCCCCAGGGCCACCGCCACCGCCGCCGCCGCCGCCGCCAGGCTCCGCAAACGAGCTTGTCCGCGCCCGGCCCGAGCCCCCAGGGCCGCCCCCCGAAGGCGCGCCGCCGCTCATGGCGCCGAGCGCAGGCCCAAGCTGCGGGGCTCGGGCTGCCCGGGCTGCCGCCGCCTCTCCCGGCCTCCGGCCTCTTCCAGGCCGCGCCGCTCGGGCTCCGGCTCCGGCCCAGCGCCCGCCGCGGGGCACGCCGGGATATGCAGTCCACCTCCCCTCTGCGCCGCCGTCACCGCCCTCGGCCTGGAGAAAGCCGTGTGGTACGCCGGGAAATGGAGTCCGCAAAGGCCTCAGAGTAGACTGCGCGGATGATGAGCCGCGATACACGTCAGGAAATAGAGTTGTTGGCAATAAGTCGACTTCGTCCACGGCGGACCTTAAAGTACTCGGGGAAATTGAGTCAGAGTCGCACACTCATTCCACTGAGGCAACCGTGAGCAATTCAGTGTGTCTCAGAAATGTAGTCACAGCCACTCCGTCAATGACCTGACGCACACTGGGAAACAGTCTAATCATTCACTGATTCTATTGGCTGTATATGCCCACCAGGGCCAGATGCACTCTGGGAAATTGAGTCCATGCAAGAGGACCCACAAATATAGGACAGTCAGGCAAGCTGGGAAATGGAGTCTTCGCCACGCCCTCACTGCATTGCAGGTATAAAGAGACTCCCAAAGCACACCGGGAAATGGAGTCCCATGTGATCCCTAAACCCCAAGAGTATACTGCAGTTCCGGAGACAGGCTAGCTAGGAAATGGAGTAGATTCAGCGCTCCTCCTCCCTTATAAGCTAGGCCGCAGTCCCTGCCGGGATATGTAGTCAACACCAAGGCTTCGGAGCAGTTGCTACCGCGAGCCCCTGTGTCTTCTGGGAAATGGAGTTCAAGGCAGTCTTTTCCTATTGACTGAGGGGAGGGATCTACCTGAGCCCGAAGCATGCTGGGGAATAGGGCACTCTGTATCCTGACCCTGTCGGCCAAGACTGACTACGCTGGCCCGAAAGTGGAGTCCAAAGGGTACCTTCGGGAAAGCGTGAGCGAAAGGGGAAAGACGGCAGTTCCCTATGGAGACTGAAGAGTGTTTCAACGTCTCCTTTCCCCTCCCCCAGGTCCTAAGGAAGAACCGGATCAACTAGGGGCTGCTGGAACATGGAGACCAAGTTTCCACAAATCGGGAAGGAAAACCTCCCTGCAAACGATTTGAGAAACAAAGTTCCCGGGGGTTTTCTCAGAACAGTAGTCTTCGGATACAATCTAGTTTTTTTCTGGCGTTGTGAGTTACAAAAGGAGGCCAAGCGTTAGAAAAGAAAATACAATTTGCCTTAAACCCCCATTCAGCTTTTTGCGTCCTCCTGCTTTCTGTATTACAGGATCTTGGAGGGCCCAAACAAGGAAGCCGGCTGCTAGGAGTAGCCTTGGGTTTTGTGCATGCATTATGTCGCCCCATTTATCGATTAATGCCCCGAAGGACAATAGCACCAAAGGGAGCTGGGAAACAGTTCGTGTGAGTGTGTGTGTCCCGGAAATACTTGGAACTAGAATGAAATCACCCTCAAGCCCCTCCTGCCTCGTGGAATAATGGGAAATGCAATTTCTAGATGTCACTTTAATCCGAGCCTGTGTTCATACTAACTGCCCTGCCCTTTCTGAAGTCTGAATAAAGTCTCTGTTCCTGACTGCAATTCCCAATGGGTGCAGACCCCCGGGACGGAACGGTAGCAGTCAAGCCTTTTCGGACTACATTAACCAAAAGGCAAAGCGCGGACCCGCGGCCGCTCCCTTCTCAAGGAAAACGGCAGAATCACGCACAACCCAGAGCAGGTGTTTTCGGGAGTTGTAGTTTGTCAGCCAAACAATGCCTGCTGCCCTCTGACGGCAGCTCTGGGTCGAAAAGCAAAAATCTGAGTCAAGTCCCAAAGCCTGGGAAATAATCCTGCACTGGACCACGAAGGCTCAGAAGGGCTGCGGGGTCGGGCGGGAGAGTGGCGGTTACTTAACGGCCAGAACCCGTGGGACATGCGCAGTGGGCAGCGCATAGGCAACCGCCACGAGGGCACTGGGATACATGGGAGACAGGGAATCTTAACCGGGGTGTTTGTATGACCGAGAACGTTTGTTGAGCGGTGCCAGGGCGGGTTGTAAGTGTCTGAGGAGCCTATGGATTTCTGGAGGTACCCAGGGGAGTGCAAGGACAAGTGAAGGATTCTTATTGGGGACCAGTGGAGGAGTCAGAGGGAACTTGGGTGTTCTTAAACTGGGAGACTGAGAAACTACTGCGAACTGGGGGACCTGAAGGGATAAGGGGTGGATGAGAAGCATCAGGAAGGAGCGTTGAGGGTTTGTGGGGATTACAGGTATGAAGGGAACCTCTGATGGGATGAATTAATTGATGAAGTGTCATGAAATCTATAAAGGGCTTTCTACTTGGAACCAGAGATCCTGGAGGATGTGGAAGGGAGCAAGGGAATGGTCTTAGAGAAACTAAAAAGATATAGGTGGGTCACTAAAGATTAGAGGGTCCACTGGAGTTTTCAAGACCAGATGCCACCTGTGACATCCTGGTCAGCCCAAATTGGGGGCAACGAGTCTGTTTGGGTCTGGTCTGTCCTGGAGAGCAATTCTGAAAGTGAAAGCTTATGAATCCATGTTAGAATTGTTAGAGATGCTTTGAAGGCACTGGAATCAGAAGCTAAGACTATAGGCAGGGTCCTCCCACCTCCCCCATGTGATGACATCCCCCTTTCTCCCTCACACCACCACCAGCAAATCGGCTGCATCTGTGTTGCCAGGAGACATGCCTCATCCCAACTTCCAGAAATAGCCCAGTGTCCCCCCCACCCATGGGAATGACTTGCATCACCCAGGAGAGGGAGCAGTTGCCCACAGGCTGCCACTGGAGCCTCGGTTTCCTGCCAATACCCCATCCCTGGATCCTCTCTTCATTGCCAACCTCCAGACATCATCTGGGACTACCCCACTCTAGGCTGGCATGAAAAGAGGATGAAGACAAAGTGGGTAGGAGTTGCACAGGGTGGGGTTCTAGAGAAGCCATTCCAACAGGCCCTGAGCCCTCCATTCTCATGCTCTCTCAGCAGCTGTGTGGGGTTGGGAAAACTCTGGGCCTCAGGCACCTCACCAGCACGTAAGGAGTTGGGCTCTCAAAGAGCACTTGCAGCCTGGATGCTTCCCCCTGATTCTCCCATCCTTGAAGAGAGCTGTCCGAGCTAGGCCTCTATGGGCTCTCCTCTCAGATCCTATGATCTTGAGACCATGGTCTGGATCCAACCATCCTGATCTTAGAAGGAAACTTAGGAGGTGAAAAAACACTTCTGAGACAGACCTCATTGAAAGTTGTGGCTGGGCTTAGGGTCTTTTTTTATTTTTATATATATATTTTTATTGACTTCAGAGAGGAAGGGAAAGGGCGAGACAGAGAAACATCAATGAGAAAGAATCATTGATTGGCTGCCTCCTGCATGCCCCACACTGGGGATTGAGCCCGCAACCCCAGCATGTGCCCCTGGCAGGAATCGAACTTGGGAGCCCTGAGTCCACAGGCTGACACTGTATCCACTGGGCCAAACCGGCCAAGGCGTGGGCTTGGGGTCTTGAGCAAGTCATTAAATCACTTCTACCTTGCTGGATGTTGGAGATAAAGCATTGCAGCTCCTAATTAAATACCAGATACTTGGTACAGGTCAATCAGTAGCAACTCTGCTTCAGTCAGTCCCATCTCACCTTATTAGCAGAGGGTGTCCCACGGTTCCATGGGAAGCTCACTAAGATCCCTTGCAAGGTCTACATTTTGAGACTATAGGCCTGTCCCCAAAGGACCCCAGACTAACTCAGAAAGGCCCTAAGGAAAGTGATCGGTGGGAGGACGCTGGAGTATAGTGCAAAGGGAGGTCCAGGCCTTCACCAGAGCCCAGGGGTATGGATAGCAATTCATACCCAGAGAGGAAAGGCATTTCAGGCAATAGGTGAAGAGTCTAAATGCTCCCAAGGACAAGTGGTCCCCATGGAATAGGGGAGCAATCAGATGACAGTGTGCCTGAGACCTTAATCATCAGGCCCTGGGGGTTATGTACCCCTCAAGGTCAGATAGTTTCCCAGGCCCTGGATTTGATCCATTCAGATGAGATGAGGCACTCACTCCACTCTGGCCATCGATCCACTGGGGAGCCAGTCAAGGTCCCCGTCCTTCAGAATCTAGCACGGGCTATGGCCCTGCAGTGAGACAGGTCACTCCATCCAAAGGCCCAAAGTTTTATTGTTTGAATACATTCTCCAACAGCCCTCAACTTCCCTCCCCTCCCACCCTCCACCCCCAATACAGAATAAGGCTTGACCACAGACCCTCACCCCAAGGGGCCCCAGCTGGGAGGCAGAGGGGGCTTCCAGTTTGGTTTCAGGGTTCACCTTTCCCACCCCCCACTCACCTGCCTATGGGCTGGTCCTAGGAGCAGCTGGGGGTGAAGGGGTTGGACCAGTGCTGGGGTGGGGAGTAGAAGAGGCACTTGTAGAGATTTGTGGCCTATGGGTGGCACCCCTCACCCTCCTCTCCCCCCTACCCCCTCACACACAGAATTTTTGGTTCATCATAAAATGTCCAACTCTCCCGTTGTAACCTGTGGGGTTAGAAACCCAGGCACTCATGGCCCCTGGAGGGGCAGGGAAGGCTGAACTGGGGCTAAGGATGGCTGGAGGTGGACAGGGAGAGGTTCAGGAGGCACAGAACGGGGAGGGAGACAAGGCTTTACTTCCTAAGCGATTGTAATAAAAAAGTTCCTGGGCATCGAGGCCAGAGCCTCAGTTCAAATATAAATTCCCCAGAATGGAGGTGGCCCCCTTAACTCCCTCCCCCCACCCCTCACCACCACTTTGCCCAGAGCTGAGAAATCCAGAGACTGGATAGCCCCCAGCCCTGGACACCCACCCACCCTCACAATTTAAAAAAAAATTTTTTTTAACTTTTATACAAAACATGAGGAGAGGAAAGGGAGGAGGCAGGGAAGAAATTAGAGCTGCCCTCACCTCCAGGACACAGGGGAGTTAAGGCAGCAAAAGAAGCATGGGGGGTGGGGGAACATTCCCCTGCCCATAGCCCTCAGGAATCTCGATGCTCCAGAGAGAGCTGGGCTGTGGCGTGCTGGAGGTCAGAGCTCACCCGCCTCGGGGTGAGGGGACCCCCAGCCTCCCC